GCAGGGGGGGTGCGGCCGGAGGCTTTTTTGCCTGGGGCGGCAAAAAAGCCAGAGCTGGCCCTGCTTGTGCAATTAATTACTCCTTCTTAAGTGTAGAACTTTGCATTTGTCCTAATTGAATTTTATCCTGGTTATTTCACACCATTCCTCCAGTTTGTCAAGATCATTTTGAATTCTAATCCCTTCCTCCAACGTGCTTGCAACCCCTCCCAGCTTGGTATCATCTGCAGCCTTTATAAGTGTACTCTCTATGCCATTATCCAAATAATTTACAAAGATATTGAACAGAACCAGACCCAGGACAGCTCCCTGTGGGACCTCACTTCTCTTCCACCTTGAGAACCATTGATAACTATTCTCTGAGTAGGTTTTCCAACCAGTTGTGCACCCACCTTATAGTAGGTTCATCTAGGCTGTGTTTCCCTAGTTTGCTTATGAGAAGACCATGTGAGACAGTATCAAAAGCCTTACTGAAGTTGAGATATATTACATTTATTACTTCCCCCTAGCCACAAGTCCCCCCAGCCATCAAAGAAGGATATTAGGTTGGGTTGACATGATTTGTTCTTGACAAATCCATGTTGACTTTTACTTTTCACCTTACGATCTTCTAGGTGCTTACAAATTGATTGATTGATTATTTACTCCATTATCTTTCGAGGTACTGAAGTTAAGCTGACTGGTCAATAATTCCTTGTGTTGTCCTTATTCCCCTTTTTATAGATAGGTACTATATTTGCCCTGTCCAGTTCTTGGGTACCTCTCCTGTCCTCCACAGGTTCTCAAAGATAATCGCTAATGGTTCAGAGATCTCTTCAGCCAGTTTCTTAAGTATTCTAGGATGTATTTCATCAGGCTCTGCCAATCTGAAGATATCTAATTTGTCTAGTTCTTAAGTTGTTCTTTAGTCTCAGATCCTACCCGATTTACACTGATGTTTGCTGTGTTAGTAATCCAATCATTGTTAACCTTTTTGATGAAAACTGAAACAAAAAAGGCATTTAACATCTCAGTCATTGCTGCATTTTCTATTGTTGTATTTTCCTGTGAGAAATAGGCCTACCCTTTCCTTGGTCTTCCTCTTGCTAATGTATTCGTAAATTTTTTTTTTTACCCTTTATGTCCCTAGCTAGTTTCATCTCATTTTGTGCCTTGACCATTCTAATTGGCCATCTAGGAACAAAAAATGTAGGCCATACTTGCATGGGAAGCAGTGACTGAAAAAGATTTGGGAGTCATGGTGGATTATCCGCTGAACATGAGCTCCAAGTGCGACGTTGTGGCCAAAAAGGCTAATACAATCCTTGGAAGCATAAATAGGGGAATCTTGGGTAGGAGTAGAAAGGTTAATTTTACCTCTGTATTTGGCACTGGTGCAACAAATGCTGGAATATTGCTTCTAGTTCTAGTGTTCACAATTCAAGAAGAATGTTGATTAAATTGGAGAGGGTTTGTGGAAGAGCCATGAGAATGGTTAAAGGATTAGAAAGTATGTTTTATAGTGATAGACTCAAGGAGCTCAATCTAAGTATCTTAACAAAGAGATGGTTAAGGAGCGACTTAATTACAGTCTAAAAGTACCTACATGGGGAACAAATATTTGATAATGGCCTCTTCAATCTAGCAGAGGAAGATATGACACCATCCAGTGCTGGAAGTTGAAGCTAGACAAATTCAGACTGGAAATAAGGCAGGCATTTTTAACAGTGAGGGTGATTAACCATTAGAACAATTTACCCAACGTTGAGGTGGATTTTCCATCGCTGCCAAATTTTAAATCAAGATTGGATGTTTTTCTAAAAGATCTGGTCTAGGAATTATTTTGGGGAAGTTACAGTGTGTTCGTGGTGATTTGTTGTTTTTTAGGAATAGCTTTGCTTCTGTTGTATTTCAATAATAAAATTTACTATTACACTACAGCATAACGAACACGATTACAAGCAGGACTTGTCAGGCCTAGCAGATATCATTTATACTTTTATAGAGCTTCAGAAGTAGGAAACGTGATGTGCATTTAATCATTGACCATATTCAGAAATATGTTAGACTGACATCTTGTCCTTATCTTTAGTGTATTAGCTATCCCTCAAACCATTGGTTAGCCAGTAGCCAAACATGAAGTATCCAACATTCTCTTCAACTGATCTCTGGACACTAAATTTAGAACAGTTCAGCAGCAGGCAGATAAAACATGAAATATGAGCACAAGTGAAATTTCATTAACTTAAATGATACATACATGTATCTATACATGCTAATATTTAGTTATATATTATACTTAATGTTAAGGGAAACAGACTAATTTTAAGAGAGATATAAATATTTGCTTCATTTTGACTAAAAAGATCTCGCTAAACACTGTTACTATCTGCTTACTGACGTGTTTTTGATGACAAGGGCTTGCTAATCTTAAAAGCTTTGACTCATTGGGCAGAGAGTGGACATAAAAACCATTGCTTCCTATAGAAAAAAATTAATACCTTAAGAAAATGCAGATGTATTTGTTCAGACTTGTGTGATTTTAGAGAAGGATGCATATAAATAGCAGTGACTGTTGTAATATATTTTAGGTGAAAATATAGTAATTTAAAATGGCTCTCTGTAGATCAAAGATACACATTTTTCTAACCAGGTTACTTCTTAATGGGTTTAAGGTGGCCCAGTGACATCATGATGTACTATATAGTACAATGCTCAGAAACTCGATTAATGATTAGTCTATATGCATTTTTTTTTCTGCACAAGAGCTTCATTCTTTTAAATAGGTTTATTCCCAGAGGGCAGCACTGTTCCCTGAAGCTTAGGGCACAGAAAATATTTATTTAACCAACTTTTCACTTTGATAGGTACCAAGTGCCCCACTGTATTAGTATTTAATTTTTATTAGCTTTAAACCTTAGAAAAAAGTATGGGGAGACAGTCTAAACCTAAGAAATCAAACCTTGTTACTTTTTGTGGCTGTCAGAATATTACTTTCACCTGGGAGACAAGTTGCGGGCTTATATTTGTTATTCAGTAAAGCTGTGTCTTTAGACTCTGAATAGTCGCTCCCAAGCTCACTGCTCCCATATCCTTTAGTGCCTATTTTAAGAAAGCTAGCAGCTCCACAGCTTTGTTCCTTCCCAATCTAGGTTCGCTAGTCAGACGTTACTTACCTGTGATGACAGCCTCTGCTGTAGCCATGTGCATGAGGGTATTGTCGCTCACTGGCCATTTGTCTCCAGACAGCACCAGGTTCTCAAGTCCTCCAATTTCCTTTAGTTCCTCTTGGATCTTTGCACCTAAAGCACTGTTTTCTCGGGTGAAATTTCGATAACCAAGAGCATCCCCTACCCCTGCCAGCAAGACAGCAGCCTTAAATTTCTCCATCACAAGGGACTTTGACTCTTCTCACTTTCCTTTTGTCTAAAGCAGCTACTGAGTCTTGATCTTTCTTTGTTCCTTTGCCTTCAGCTGAGCTCAACTGACACTTTATATTAGCCATTGTGTCACTGCACAGATCTCTCTGTATAAGGCAAGGCAAGCCTTTTCTGGCTTTGCAGGTGCCACCTCTTGTCCCAAATCCAATGAAGAGAAAATATTTCTTAATCCAAGTATATTTTACAGGGAGTTAGTTAATTGTAAAAACATGTGTGTACAACATACAAGAAGTGAAAAGCAAAGATCAAAATCATTCCTGCAATGCAGCATAAAGCAAGCCCAGAAATACTTTGACTATCCAGTTTAAGTAACTCTACACCCAGATAAATAAATCTCTGGTAGGGGTGTTAATTTTTTTAATGGCTTGTAAATGAACATGTTTTTCTTTGGTTCTGTAATATTGTAAAATTAGTTTCTCTTTGTGGAACTGATTAAGAAACAGAAGCACAGTCTGCTGTTACAAAAGGATGTACAGAGCCCCTCTGCAAATGCAATAGATTCAAGGTTGGCAAATTATGTAGAAAGAGCCCAGTAAAATTCAGTAGCTTTCACATTTCTTACTATATCCAATGGCAATGTTTTATTATCTGGAGGCACAGATGGGTTTGTTATTGAATTTAGACAGGTAACCCAGAAAACACTGGCTCCAAATTAAGCTGGCTGATCCATTAAAAAAAAAAAACCACCACCACACACACACTTTTTTGCTCTTCCCCTTTACAGTAGGAATGATTAACTAATTCATCGTGTCCTTGGATAAAATCAAGTAAAATAATAACTTATACCACACCTACTAGTATTCTCCTCTCTAGGAAGGAATGTACTTTTCATACCAGCATGTCCTCAGGCTGCATTTTAGCTGTGACAGGAGATTAGCATCATATGTTTTGGAATGAATATTAAGTGATGATCATGGGGGCCTAGGAAAATTGTTTATCCAGAAAATGACCAACTTGATGGATAATCTTATATTTTGATAAACACTCTTGTACTCAGTGTTTGGTTCACTCTGTGCCTACATATATGACCAGCCCTTCTGTGGCATGATTTGGGGAGGGAGACTCCAGCCTTTGTACCCAATACTGTGCACCCGAGCACAACTATCCCTATCCACTCTGTCTACACTGCGATGAAAAAACACAGCACCGAGTCCCAGCCCACAGCATGACAGGAGTCAGGAGGTCCACAGACTCAATGAAGCCCATGGATGCCTGCTTGTCATCCAGCTGGCCTCTGTCAATGTCCCTGTGGCCTTCTGGCACAGTCACCCCTCCCTTACTAGTGGCTGATCCCCAGCACAGCACCACGCAGATAACAGGGCCCATCTTGTTCCCTGACAAGACTGAGCAGCAGAGGGAGCACAGCAGCTCCTAGTGGAGTGGGTGGAGGGAACACAAATACCATCTATTGAGGGTCAACCCTCCAGGGAGGATGACAACCTCAGAAGTGGCAGCAATGGGGGAGGGTCAGGAATGGGAGCAGGATTGGGGACCCTGACAGCCATGCCACTGGGGGGTTGGCAGCACCATACCAGTTACAGGGGTTAAAGGGACAATGACAGTGGGCTGAGGTGCCACGATAGATTCAGCACTTGTGGCCTCTGTATTAGGTGTTAGGCTTGCTGGGTTGGGGCCCCCTCAAGCTGCTATGGAAGTGACCACCCAGCCTCAGGAGGGGGCAGCCAGGAGGCTCAAAACCTGGCTGTTCAGCACCAGCTTTTGCCACAATGGGTTTGGCAGCCTTGAGCTTGGTGCCATCTACAGTCAGGCAGGTGGAAAGGGCAGGGGGCACCCTCCTGTGCCGTAAGATGGGGGAGGGCAGGAGGAGGAGGGGGTACTGCAAGGGGCTTAGCACCTAGCCCACCTGCTGGCAGAAAGTTGTCTTCCCCTGGGGCTAGAGAGGGCAGACCCATGGCCTCAAATCTCCTTGAAGATGGCCTCAAGGCCCTCCCCCACACCGCCAAGGAGGCATCCTCCCCATCAGCCACCAAGGTAAGCGCCGCCTCAGCACTGAGTAGAGGGCCACCCTCCCAGGCCTCCTCCAGGAGAGGCGCAACAAGAGCAGAGTCGTCCCCCCTCCACTGCCAGAGCATCCCTGGTCAGCTCCACCCGCTGGACCTTTTTAGTGGGGTGCAGAAGGTGGCCCAGCAGTGCCCCCCCGATGCTGTATGGGAGGCCTTTTCCCCCTCTTTCAGGTCACAAATGAGGTGCTGGGTCCACAGCTTACATCTGTTGTGCTTACCGCCCCACCCCCCCACCCAATTACAAGTACCCAGTCCTCATCGGTGTTGTCTGAGGGAGGGCCAGCGGGGGTAGGCTTAGTGGGCAGGGCTGATAGGATGGGGATTAGAGGAAGCACGGATGGGACAACTGGGTGAGGCACAGTCTCCACCTTGGATGGACCCACTCCCATGCTCCCTAACATTGCCTCAAGTCCCCCGCCATGGACCCCACCCTTAAGGCTGGCGGTGGCACCGCCCCCAGAATCCGAGCGGGGTTGTTAGCTGGGGAGGATCAGGGACCAGGTGGGCAGAGTCACTGGTACTGGCGGGGCCGGTGCTCTCCTAGGACATAGGGAGTGCCTTGCACCGCTCCTTCCCAGGCCAGGCGACAGTCCTTCTGGAGGTGCCTCAGAGCCAGGGAGAGGAAGCACCAAGCCTCCCAGGATGGATTTGATTTAAATCACTAATCAGGAAGACTCAATTTAATCAGGGATTTTTACACAAAAAAAGGTTTTTTTGGTTATTATAACCTTAATACGTGATCCTCACAACTCAGAGATAGATGTAGGTTTCATTTTTAGAAGGTACACACTATACATTTTTAAAGTGATTTATTTTGAAAACATTTCAGATTAGTTTTACAGCTATATCAGAAAATGAATGAATGGTTGGTTATTTCATTTACCAAAGGTAATTGAAGCAGATATTTATGAAGTCATTGGGAAGTGAACTATCTCCAATTCAACAGGTGAATCATTAATATTTGGAGAATTTTCTTGCCATGCTGTATTAGGAGAACATCACTAGACAGACATTTAAATTGTTTTATTTAACTAAAACAACAACATTATGTGTTCTGGATATTTTTCTTCAACAGCAAACATATAATATTTTAACAAAACAAGCATACGAATTTTCTAATTTAGTTAAACATTCAAGTTTTTTAAAATCAGGTTTGTTTTTGTTAAAATTGTTTTTAACTAAAATAGTTAAATGAAATATTTAAAAACAAAAAAACAACTTAAATCGACTATGTCAGCCAGGTCAACATGAGAAACTTAAAATATTGGCTTCTGCAGCTAACTCAGTCGTCTTCACCTTCATTTTCCCGTTTGTTCATAATCTGGAAAAGAAAAACAAGCTTTCCTGCTTTTTCAGGTTCCAAACAATTTCTCAAGTTGGAATGAATTAGTCCAAAGGAAGAAAATATTATTTCGACACCGGCAGAAGAAACTACTGCTGTTAAAAGTGAGATTATCACGTCAACAATCTCTGAATCCAAGTGCTTAAGTGACTTTCACCAGTTCACTGGTGTGACTTTCTTTAAAACATCATCGGCAAACATATATTTCTTGAATGGTTTACCCTTAGTTCTGAAGTTTATTATAGTTGGCATTATGGAGGGATGATTGCTGGATGTCCATGTCATAGTCAACTCCTCCTCTTCAGCAGTTAAGGTTTGACCCTGGTACCGAGTATTGAGAATATTTGCAAGAAAATGAGCTGGAGATAGTGCTTGTCCCATTCGTTTTTTTAACGCTTGTAATTTAACTCTGTCATTTCATATTTCTCTTTTTAAGATCTCACTCAGTTCCTTCCAAATTTCAACAGCGTCAGCAATAACAGTTATTTCCCTGCATTTTGTTCAAGGCTACAGAAATAGGCTGTACTCAGCCTATGTTCAACATTTCTCTTAAGCCCAATGTTGAGAACCTTGGCTGTGACTGTGCCATCTATTTTTTTCACAATTTTGTTCACAAACTGTCATTGGATTAAGCCAGTTCTTGATACAATGCTCAAAACAGTCCACTACTGAGTTCCATCGCACGTCTTGTGGGAGAGTGAGCTTGGTTCCTCCCACTTTTTTCAGAGCAGCTGCTGCAAAGTGGTTGTTATAGAAGTATTTTGCAATTTCAACAACATTAGCCTTTATTTCTGGAACACTGAAGTCTTTGGCAAGGAGTGCTTCAAATGAGCACTGCAACCGTATGTTATTAGCTTGGGACTCTCTTCTAAATAATTTCTTCCCATCTTGGATACATTTGCAGCATTGTCTGTGACCAAGCTGCATTACTAGACATTTGCATTTTTTTCTGATTGTTATAGCTTTTAATGCTACTTCTTGTAAGTATTCTGCTGTTTGTGCATTTCCTGATGTATCAATTGTTTCCTTCTTCTGTTGTCACACAAGCACATACAACAGGATCATTGTGGACATTGCTCCACCCATCAAGACTCAGGTTAACAATTTTACCCTTTGCACCTTTTGCACACTGCTCAATTTCTCTTTCATACACTTTATCCAGCAATTTGTTTGCGATATCTGCTCTGTTGGGTGGACTGTATCCTGGTCTTAATGACTGAACCATGTTAATGAAGTGTGGGTTCTCAATCATACGGAAGGGAGAGTTTGTTGCAAAAACAAACTGGGCAATTTTTTCATCAATTACCTCTTTTGTAATTCTGTGGTTCTCATCACAAACTTAACTATGGTTAGAGCATAAGTTTCGTGGGTGAATGCCCACTTCATCTTGCATCTGATGAAGTGGGCATTCACCCACAAAAGCTTATGCTCCAATACTTCTGTTAGTCTTAAAGGTGCCACAGGACCCTCTGTTGCTTTTTACAGATTCAGACTAACACGGCTACCCCTCTCATACTTAACTATGGTTGTTTCTGGATGATGGAGATTTTTTTTTTCTTTTTGCTACAGGTGATATATTGTGGCTATGTGACATACATGATGTGACCGAAACACTATCATTGGCATATTACTCTGAAACTATAGAAAATGATGGTGATCTTGA